TCGACGCGAGCCGGCGGCCTGGGCATCAACCTCGCCACGGCGGACACCGTCATCATCTACGACAGCGACTGGAATCCGCACAATGACATTCAGGCGCTCAGTCGGGCGCACCGCATCGGCCAGACCAACAAGGTGATGATCTACCGCTTTGTGACGCGCAACAGCGTCGAGGAGCGCATCACCCAGGTGGCGAAGAAGAAGATGATGCTGACGCACCTGGTGGTCCGCCCCGGCCTGGGCTCGAAGACCACCAATGCGACCATGTCGAAGCAGGAGCTGGACGACATTCTCCGCTTTGGCACGGAGGAGCTCTTCAAGGAGGAGGAGGGNGGGCTCGAAGACCACCAATGCGACCATGTCGAAGCAGGAGCTGGACGACATTCTCCGCTTTGGCACGGAGGAGCTCTTCAAGGAGGAGGAGGGGGGCAAGGAGGGCGGCGGCAGCGAGGCGGCCATTCACTACGACGACAAGGCCATTGAGGAGCTGCTGGACCGCTCCAATGAGGGCATCGAGCAGAAGGAGATGTGGGCCGATGAGTACATGAGCAGTTTCAAGGTGGCCAGCTACCAGACGAAGGAGGCGGAGGAGGAAGAGGAGGAGGAGGTGGAAGAGGTGAAGGAGACGAAGGAGGAGCCCTCGCAGGACCCGCACTACTGGGAGAAGCTGCTCGGCATTCACTACATTCAGTATCAGGACAACATCTCGCGGACGCTGGGCAAGGGCAAGCGGGTGCGCAAGCAGGTCAACTACATGGACAGCGCCTCGGGGCAGCACGAGTTCCAGAATGCCGACACCAGCGAGAGCTCGGACTTTTCGATGCCGTCAGGTAGGACTGACTTTGGTTTTGGTGGAAAGGCATTTGGGCTAACCTTTTTCCCCTTTTAGACATGAGCGAAAACGACGAGGACTTTGATGAGCGCCTGGAGGGCATTCCTCGTGGCAACCAGAAGGCGCTGCGCAAGAGCACCAAGGAGAAGATGCCGCCGCTGGTGTCCACGGTGGGCTCCAACACTGAGGTAGGTGTTTGGTTTTGAAGTTTAGTTATATTTTTAAAAACACACTATCTCTTTTTTTCCGCAGGTCCTCGGCTTCACTCCCAAACACCGCAAGCTCTTCCTCGACCTGGTCATGCG